ACACCATGCCAGACCTTTACATGTCAACACTTAAGTACTCCATATCAGATAATTGTATGTTCTTACATAATAACATCATATAAAACAACCTGACCTGACCATTTCAGCCTCATTCATGACTGTTATAATATAGAACAAAGTTCTCCAAACTGCGGCCCCTTTGCTTGCCTTTAAAAATATATAAATAAACAGCGCAAACATAGGCCTCTATATCAAATCAATATACAAAGTGCAAACATATATAAAAAATTAAATAAATAGTGAAGTCCATCAAAATTAATAAACACAAAATTCAAAAATAGTTTGTGCAAACAGAAATTTTCAAATTCTTCTTCTATTATAAAGAAACTTCCACCTTCCACCCGTGAAAACCAACATCAAATGCACTCACCAGATTAAGGTGAATGAAACGCCTTTTAGGAATTTATGGGATCCTAAACCCTCTTTGGTATCCACTCTATAGGAATCCTCACCTCCAGCATAGACTCCACCATCCAACCAGGGAGAAAAAAACTCAGATAGTGTAATATTGCAAAACACCATTCATAAGTGAAATCAAGGATTAAGGCCACTCACATTATAATCGCTTTAAAAAAGGCATATTTATTAAGACCAGCTTCTTTCCAGATGAACAGTAGATGTAAGGCAACCTCTCACAGAATCTCACATCACAGCTCCAGGTTACAGCAGAAGCTCCACAGAGACCACACATATACAGATCCCAAAAGATGGCCGCTGGAACGCACCGCTCAGCGTGCGCTCCACTCACCGGAAGTGACGTCAGACGTACGGGGTAGTAACCGGAAATGCGTCAACGCGTTTCGCCCCTCCCATCGGGCGTTCTCAACTTGAGTTGAGAACGCCCGATGGGAGGGGCGAAACGCGTTGACGCATTTCCGGTTACTACCCCGTACGTCTGACGTCACTTTAGGTGAGTGGAGCGCACGCTGAGCGGTGCGTTCCAGCGGCCATCTTTTGGGATCTGTATATGTGTGGTCTCTGTGGAGCTTCTGCTGTAACCTGGAGCTGTGATGTGAGATTCTGTGAGAGGTTGCCTTACATCTACTGTTCATCTGGAAAGAAGCTGGTCTTAATAAATATGCCTTTTTAAAGCGATTATAATGTGAGTGGCCTTAATCCTTGATTTCACTTATGAATGGTGTTTTGCAATATTACACTATCTGAGTTTTTTTCTCCCTGGTTGGATGGTGGAGTCTATGCTGGAGGTGAGGATTCCTATAGAGTGGATACCAAAGAGGGTTTAGGATCCCATAAATTCCTAAAAGGCGTTTCATTCACCTTAATCTGGTGAGTGCATTTGATGTTGGTTTTCACGGGTGGAAGGTGGAAGTTTCTTTATAATAGAAGAAGAATTTGAAAATTTCTGTTTGCACAAACTATTTTTGAATTTTGTGTTTATTAATTTTGATGGACTTCACTATTTATTTAATTTTTTATATATGTTTGCACTTTGTATATTGATTTGATATAGAGGCCTATGTTTGCGCTGTTTATTTATATATTTTTTACAATTTGTGTTGATCACATTGCACAGCAGCAGGATAGAACCTATAGTAGGGTGTTTCACTAGGCGCAGGAAGAGTTTTTAGTTCTTTGCTTGCCTTTATCCGGCCCTTGAGGTATTATTCCTGCCACTGACACCAACAATGAGGCATATTTCCTGCCACTGACACCAACAATGAGGCATATTTCCTGCCACTGACACCAACAGTGGTGCACTATTCCTTCCACTGACACCAGCAATAAGGCATAATTTCTTCCACTGACATCAACTATTTGGTCTTGGGTATTGTTTACTCCCACTAGGCACAGTTTGGCTGCCTAAAGTCTGAAGGATGATAAAACTAGCTCTTTCTTTAGAAAGTTTGGAGACCCCTGCTATCGAAGATCCTGTTACGACATCTCCCTTTACTAGTTTATTACATAACAGATGCTATTTCACTCAACTATCTATCCCAACGCTCCTTCAGCGTTACTTATAACGCTACCACCTCCCCCTCTCTGTTGGGGTCCACCAAGGCTCTGTCCTCGGGCCCCATCTCTTCTCCATCTACACCTCCTCCCTCGGCAAACTGATACACTCCCACGGCTTCAACTACCACCTCTATGCCGATGACACGCAAATTTACCTCTCCACCCCTCAACTCACCCCTTCAGTCTCCGCCCGTATCACCCACCTACTGAACGACATATCAGACTGGATGTCGCTCCATTTCCTCAAATTGAACCTTTCCAAAACCGAGTTCCTGATTTTCCCCCCAGCCCGTGCCCCCCCCCCCACCCTCTCCATCACGACCAACAAGGCCACCATCAGTCCCACCCCGCAAGCCAAAGTCCTAGGTGTCACTCTAGACTCAAACCTGTCCTTCCAACCCCATGTCCAATCATTGATAAACTCATGCAGGCTCCACCTCCGCAACATCTCCAAAATACGTTCGCTCCTAACCCCAGACACTACTAAACTACTCGTTCACTCCCTTATTATCTCACGTCTGGACTACTGCAACTCCCTTCTCACCGGCCTACCTCATTGCAGACTATCCCCTCTTCAGTCTATCCTGAACTCAGCGGCCAGACCTATCCACCTTACCAACCTCCGCTTCTGCCACCCCCCTCTGTCATTCCCTCCACTGGCTCCTGATTGCCCAATGCATTAAATTCAAACTACTAACATTGACGTACAAAGCCATTCATAATGCTGCCCCAAACTACCTCACTGACCTGATACCCAAATACCACCACAACCCGTAATCTTCGCTCCTCACAAGACCTCCTACTTTCTAGCTCCCTGGTCTCCACCTCCCACGCCCGATTGCAGGACTTCTCCAGGGCTTCCCCCATCCTCTGGAACTCACTACCCCAATCCATCAGACTGTCACCTACCCTCCTCACCTTTAGGCGCACCCTGAAAACCTATCACTTCAGTGAAGCCTACCCCGCCCTCACCTAACAGCCGATCTTCTCCACTCCTCTCACGACTCCATCCCCCACTGCCACCACCTCTCCTCCTGTACCACTATCCCCTCCCTCCTAGATTGTAAGCTCGAAAGAGCAGGGCCCTTGAACCCCTTGTGTATTGTTGTGTTACTGTATTGTCTCATATACTGTCCCCCTCTATAATGTACAGCGCTGAGCAAACCTTTTAGCGCTATATAAATACTGTATAATAATAATAACTTCCAACTTAAGTTTGATGCTGGAAAAGCAAGGGCCTCATTTGCTTTAGGAAGAAAAATATTGCCCTAATGAACTGTAAAAAAGGTCCTTTGTAACCCTTGCAATTTCTCTACAATTGAAATAAAACCTTAAAAAAACCTAATCACAATGCTCACACTTTCCTGTTTTCCAGTTTGTTGGCTGTGGGGAATTTTTTATTTAAAATAATATTTAAAGAAAAAAACATGGCTGATCCAAACCTAGCAAACATAATTGTGTAAACTAAGCCGAGTGAGAGAACTAAGTGGGTATTTAAAGGCATGCTCCAATGTATGCAGTTTATTATTCTTATTATTATACATGATTTATATAGCGCCAACAGTTTGCTCAGCGCTTTACAGTATAAAGGGAGACAATACAGCAACGATACAGTTCAATAGAAAAGGGTAAGGAGGGCCCTGCTCCTGGGAGCTTACAATCTAATAGGTAGGGGCTGGTGGTACAAGAGGTAATAACTGTGGGAGATGGACTGATAGGAGAAATAGAAGATTCGGTTATTAGCTGAAGGCAGGATAGGCTTACCTGAAGAGTTAAGTTTTCAGGGATCACCTAAACGTTGGCAGGGTAGGTGCTAGTCTGACAGATTGGGGTAGAGAGTTCCATAGGATGGGGGAGGCAAAGCACACTTTACCTCTTCATTCTTGGACCAACCTGATTCATCAAACCCAAAGTTTAAGGGTTTATGTTTATAGATGTCTAGCTTCAAAGTTAAACATCTTCAAACTTTATCATTAATAAATTGGTTACTTGATTAACTCCCATGGCTTCAAGTACCATCTCTATGCTGATGACACACAAATCTATCTCTCTACTCCTCATCTCACCCCTTCAGTCTCCTCTCACATTACTAACTTACTAAGTGATATATCAGCATGGATGTAACACCACTTTTTCAAACTCAATCTTTGTAAAACTGAGCTCTTAATATTCCTTCCAGCCTGTGCCCCCTCCCCTGACTTCTCCATGAAGATGAATAATTCAACAATCAGTCCCTCCCCTCATGACAGGGTACTAGGTGTAATCCTAGACACCGATCTGTCCTTTCAGCCCCAAATACAATCACTGTTCAAATCTTGTAGACTTCACCTCCATAACAGCTTCAAAATATGCCCCTTTTTTAGCCATTGAAACCACTAAGCAACTTATTCACTCCCTTGTTATCTCTCGCCTTGACTATTGTAACTCCCTCCTCATTGGCCTACCTAATCACAGACTATCCTCTCTTCATTCTATCATGAATGCTGCTGTCAGACTCATCCACCTTACAAACCGTTCCATATCTGCCACCCCTCTCTGCCAATCCCTCCACTGGCTGCCCATTGCCCAGCGAATAAAATTCAAAACATTAACAATAACATATAAAGCAATTTATAACTCTGCTCCAAATTACATCACCAATCTTTTCTCTAAATATCACTTAAACCATCCTCTCCGCTCCTCCCAAGATCTCCTGCTCTCTAGCTCCCTTGTCTCCTCCTCTCACGCTCATCTCCAGGACTTCACTTTCACATTAACGTAAAGTATACTGCTTGCAAATTACCATTAGGTTTCTTTATGTTTGAGTCATGCCCAGTCACAAATTTCTCATATCTAGCATATCTATGTATAGAAAATAACATACATGTAAATCTGGTTTCTGGCCAGAATTGCCAGCAAAACCTCACAATTTACTATTTCACCCAATTATATTTCAGGAAATACCCCTGTCTGATATTCTCCACATTGAGGCATTTGATAGTAAACCCAATGGGCTTGCAAAAGATGGGGAGACCCCTCATTGTTTTGAGTTACTGACAGATACTTTGGTGTATTATGTGGGAGAGAGCGACGTTCTGCTCCACATGGTGGGCATAATAGAGCAGATTCTGGAGACACCTGGTACAGAATGATCCGAAAAGCCCCTGATGCCAGGCATGGATGAAAGCAGCACTCCAAAGAAGTCACCTCAATCAAGTATTCCAGGTGAGATGTTCTGTTCTCATAACAATATGTTTAAATATTTTTATTTTTTTTATATTAGACTTGTACATCCCAGTTTTACAGCCAGTTGCTATAGGGTAACAGAAAATATCAATAATGCAACCACAAAATCTTTATTTACAGTGTTGTTTTTGTGGTTGAACCTATACCATAAATGACAAGGTGCTAGGGGACAGGTGACAAATTTTGACTTGAATGGTATAGAATATTTCAGAAAGTATATGAAATTCAATGAGCATCTGTACAAATGCTGTATGCTACTTCAGGGTCAAAACTAGGTGGGGGCATGTGCCCCAGGCACAGCATAGAGAGGGGCGCCACGGCTGGTACTGATCTTCCTGTAGCAGCTGAAACCCCTCGTCTCCTCCTTTCCCTCCCGCCAGCATTCAGCTGCTGCAGGAGGAAAATTACAGGGATCAGTACCAGCAAATGCCTTCCCAGCTGTCACTCCTGTCCATGCCCCTTATTCTTAAGCTGTCCAGTCCCTGTACTCCCCTTGTCCCCCTGCAGCACTTTCCTCCTCTCCTGTCAGCTACCTTTGCAGTAAGCGGGTGGGCTGAATAAAGGTATAATCCTCCTCATAATACCCCTAAAACCTGCACTCTGTACACAGCACACCCCTAAACCCTGCAGTCTGTACACAGCACACCCCTAAACCTCAGGGTACACACTCTGTACACAGCGCACCCCTGTACCCTGCATTATGTACACAGGGCACCCTTGAACCCTACACTCTGTATATAGCACATCCCTAAACCCTGCACTCTGTACACAGTGCACCCCTAAACCCTGTAGTCTGTACACAGCACATTCCTAAACCCTGCACTCTGTATGTAACGCTGAGGCTGCAGAGAAAAGGACTGGGGAATCTGTCCTCAGTCCCTTTCTGTGCCTCAAAAAAGACATCAGGGGGCCTATTTAGGCATTTTTGGCAGTTTGGCATCTCCATCCTGGGCACTGAATGAACTTGTTCTGGTACTGGGGGGGGGGGGGGGGGGGGCTGGACTGAGTCTCTGGCCTGGGTGAAAGAATGTCTAGCTTCGCCACTGTGCTACTTCAGAAAAATGAAATAGCTGTTATAGTGTGTTAAAAATCAGAATACAACAAAATGGCAGTCTTGTGATGTGAAGATAATACCAGAAGTATAAGACGGCTACATGACTAAATGGTGCAAACATGTTACATTATGAATTTTGTAGCTGTGTACTGCCAGGATCTGCTGTATGCAGCATTAAAAAAAAAATATTACACAGCTAATTAGGGAGGGGAATTGTGATATAACTTTAAAAAAATCTTTATCATTCATAAATATGTCAATATTTTTCTACCTAATTTTCCGTAGGAGCATATCTTGAACCACAGCAAAATCTGGTAAGTCAATATATATCGCTTGTTCATATACTAGCTTTCTAATTTCACATACTACTTTAACATACAAATGTAGTCCGTTGGACATTTATTGCTAACTGCCGCCCTTTATCAGTGTCTTTTACAATGTGTTGAGTAAATGCTACTTTTTTATTGACTCCTTTGCTGTCATTGCGAGAGGATTTCTCTGTCGGCTGTCAGGTGGAAGCCACACAATCGCTCTCACATCCCCCCGGTATATTGGCCCATATGTGAAACCTCTGTTTTCAGAAAATATATAATGTTATCATAGAATATATAATGTTATTGTTTTTTAAATAATCTTCAGGCCTAACATTTTTTAAACTTGAAAAAAAAAAAATGCGAAAATAGCTCTAAGGCAGGGCCATACTGGAGTGCAAATAATTTTGTTTTCCTTTTTAAAGGTGAGATTTTGCACTCCAGCTGTGCATTCCTTTAAAAGTTCAGAATATTGGTCATGTACTTTACTGAAAATTGCATACACGAAGGCCCCTTTCACACGGGCGTTCCGTTTTTTTTTTTTTCAGTTCAGTCATGGTTTTTACAAGGAAAAACAGATCAGTTCACATTTAGTTTTACATCTGTTTTCATCCATTTTTAATCGGTTTTACATCAGTTTTCATCTGTTTTTCGTCAGTTTACATCTGTTTACATCCGTTTTTCGTCTGTTAAGATGAGTTTTTCATCTGTTTACATCAGTTTACATCTGGTTTTATAAGTTTACATCCTTTTTTCATCCGTTTACATCTATTTCTGTGCATTTACATCTGTTTTTCGTCTGTTCCGTCTATTTTAATGGAAGAAAAATAGGATGCTATTCAAACAAATGAATGCTAACGGATACAGACATTAACAGCTGTAAACAAATGATCATCCATTTATATCTACTAGTCCTTAGAAATAAATGGGTGTCCGTTTTTCATCCATAAACGGACAGATGAAAAATGGACATATGGAACACCCGTGTGATAGGGGCCTAACAGTAACCTTTGCTTACACGTTTTTTTTATTTTTTTCTACAATAGCAGTTATAATTTCCTATATTTTCTTTAATATAAATAACACAGCAAAACAAAATTAAACAAAGTATATGCTACATGCTAACATTTAATCATATAGGGATTACCAAATAAGCCTGCTGCACTGAATGGCCTGCTTACAATGTTTAGGCCACATTCACACTTCATGCAGCAGAAACATGCATTCCTGTTTGAAATTTTGTTGTGTTGGTGATTTACATGCGTTTCACTTGAATTGGCTGCCACATGCTCATTTGTCGTGCTAAAGAATCCCGCCCCTTTTTGGGTGATGAGCTTCTTGCGATTTTGCTATGATTGCCCTTTGACAATTTCAGAAAAATTGCATCGTGTTTGGGGGTGCCATTAGGAATGACTGGCATTCAATTTGGTATCACAAGCAGAATTGCACCGATTCTGCTTGCAATTCCAAATCTCTAGGTGTGAATGGGGCCTTAGGGGAAACATGTGATTCTATGAAAAGTCAAAGGGCTGTGAACAAGTGGACATGTCTGCCTTTTGTCATGCTGTCCATCATTCACAGTATGGCGAAGACCCTACCAACTTATCTGAAGATTAAAAAGTAATGGGCTGAATCTCAGCGAGCTTAGTAGAATGGAAGGCTTTAAACAAATGGGAAAACCACATTATTTACAGTTAGTACTTTTATCTTTGGTTTGTAAAATAATTTGGAGTAATTTTCTAGATATAGCAGATATGTTTAGAAATCCTAGCTATTCATAATATATAATTTAAACAGCTGCTTTTTCTGACGGTGATTTATTTGGAGCCAGTTCACACCGGGATTGGATTCCAGCACATTCCTGTAGGGTGAGATTTTGAAGCACATGCATTTGAATGGGCTGAAATTGCACCGGAACATGGGAGAGAGTACAAATATGCCGCACCAAATCTCGTGGTACCGCTGGCACCATATGATTTGGTGCCTGTAACCTCATTGCGATCTGCGTTTGGGATACAGTTAACAATGCATCAGCACCCAGGGCAGATCACAAAGGCACCTATACTGCACCGTGTTCTGGTGTGAACCAGCCCTAATTTTTTTTTTTTTTTGTTCTCTCAGGATATCAGTCATATGTATCAGATCTTCCCAGATGAAGTTTTGGGTTCAGGACAATTTGGAATTGTCTATGGCGGTAAGATATTTAATTTCCTTCCTCTTTTCATGAAATATTCTTTAAATAAGGAAGCTTTTTTGAGCAATGTTAATGCTTTCATTTTTAAGAAAGCAGTGATGTTCCTCTTAATATTTAAAAGAAGTTCAGATTCTGAAAAAATGTATACTGGTTGGATGCAGCATCGCCCTGATACTGAATCTGTCCCCCCGCCGCATCTAAGACCGAGAACTGAGTGATTAAAGACAGCTGATCGCTCAGTTCTTGGTGTTTACAGAGAAGAGAGCTGATGACTATCAATCACCAGCTCTCTGCTCTGCACCTCCAACCCTCATTGGAGCACTGGGCTGGCAGGGGGCAGGAGTGGCTTGATCAGACTCTCAGCGGTTCACTGAGAGGCTGAGCCAGCTGATGGTACATTCATCTGGGTGGATCCTGACTTTAACCACTAGCCTACAGGGCACTTATACCCCCTTCCTGCCCAGGCCAATTTCCAGCTTTCAGCGCTGTCACACTTTGAATGACAATTGCGCGGTCATGCAACACTGTACCCATATGAAATTTTTATCATTTTTTTGTGACAGATAGAGCTTTCTTTTGGGGGTATTTAATCACCTCTGAGATTTTTATTTTTTCTTAAACAAACCAAAAACCACTGAAAAGTTTGAGAAAAAAAAAAAAACCTTTTTTCTTAGTTTTTGTTATACAATTTTGTAAATAAGTGATTTTTCTCCTTCACTGATGTGGGCAAATGAGGCTGCAGTGATGGGCACTGATAGGTGGCACTGATGAGGAGGCACTGGTAGGTTGCACTGATGGGCATTGACAGGCATCACTGATGGGCACTGAAAGGCAGCACTGATACATGACACTGATCTATGGCACTGATAGGCGGCACTGACTGGCACTGTTAGACGGCACTGACTGGCACTGATGCGCACTGATAGGCGACACTGACTGCCACTGATAGGTGTGCACTGATTGGCAGCACTGATAGGTGGCACTGACTGGCACTGATGGGGCACTGACATTGAAAGGCAGCTCAGATGGGCACTGATATGTGGCATTGATGTGCACTGATATGTGGCATTGATGTGGCACTGATGGGCACTGGCACGTGGCACTGATGAGCATTGACTGCTGGCACTGATGGACACTGACAGGTGGCACTGCTGGGGCTACTGCCCTGATGATCAGTGTACATGTCCCCTCCACGGAAAGCCGATTACCGGCTCTCCTCACCTCTCGAGCTGTCAGCGTGACAGCTCGAGAGGAGAGAAATGCTGATAACTGGCATTTCCGTGTTTACAGGTGATCAGCTGTGATTGGACACAACTGATCACATGACCGAGCCGACATCTTCGGCTCTTTCCATGATCCGCTGTGTCCGAGGGACACAGCGCACCAGCAATCGCCACGCTGCGCGCTCCCTGAGCCGCGCATGTGCGTTGAGAATGGAAGGACGTCATATGACATCCTATCAGAACGAGAGAACCATCTTGCGCCCGTCATTGTACTATATGGTGGGCGGAAGGTGGTTAAAGTCTCTCCAGAGTCTGGACCGGCTAAGTGGCATCAGCTGACAGCGGCTTTAGCCAGCTGGGTTATGGAGGAGTGGAAGGCAATAAAGAGCAGTTTGGCTTAAAGCAGGACATTTCAGCAGGGTATCAACCAGTGTCCGAATACAATGTCCTGATGGTGGTGGTATGGGGGTGCATTCAACCATCCAGCTCGTTTTTGTGTTTCGAAGAATTTTTGTTTAGAATAATGTTGTTCAGCAAAAAAAATAACTGTATGGTCAGCTTAAGACAACTGTCTCCCTAAGAATGGCAGGCTGGAAAGACTCCTGCTCGTCTTCAGTTGAGACATGCCACTTAATCTCTTGCAAACTGGCCCACTGGCAAAATCCATGCATGCATAGTCAACTACTTCCTTCACTCTTGATTGGTCCCATCGCATAGAATTTTTTCAGCTTTTGGTAAATATGTGCAATGATGTGGAACTTGCTATTGCCCATAAATTAGAACTAAATGCCTAATCCTCTAATGAATATACCATTTGGCCATTAAATTAGGAGAGTATTGGGTTGTTTATGACCAACTGTAAAGTTTATCTGATTCTCAAGGCTCATTCCATGCGTGAAGGTAGAATATCTGCTGTGTGAAGCAGCTTCCCCTAATGCTTACCTGAGCCCTATCTCGATCCAGCTATGTGCACGGGAGCTGCTGCTCTCCCAGGACTCTCCCTCCTCCCGGGACTCACACAGGTTATAAAGAGATCTCATATTTATGAATTGCTACAATCAGATATTGGCTTTTTTGACGACAGTGTGACTTAAAGTGATATTAAATGTTCGGCTTTTTTTAAAAACAAAAAAAGCAGACATGTCATACTTACCTGCTCTGTGCAATGGTTTTGCACAGAGCAGCCCTGATTCTCCTCTTCTCCAGTCCCCTGCCTGTGCTCCTGGCTCCTCCCCTTTGACCAGTGCCCCCAGTATCAAGCCTCTTGCTTTCGAGGTACTGGTGCATGCTCGCTCCTGAGCTCCACTCTATGCGTCCATAAGACACAAAGAGCCACGGGTTGGCTCTGCCCCCACTCTGTCCTCATTGGTTTGCTAGCTGTGATTGACAGCAATGGGATCCAATGGCTCTCGCTGCTGTCTCAGCCAGTGAAGAGAGGGAATCCCGGGACAGCCGAGGCTCCTCTGCACATTGCTGGACTGAGAGGGGGCTCAGGTGAGTATTAGGTGGGCTTTAGGGGGAGCAGCACACAGCAAGTTTTTTACCTTCCTGTATAGAATGCATGCAGGTAAAAAGACCTTCAGGCTTTATATCCACTTTAAAAAAAATATTTGTTGCCATATGAAACAAGTATGCTTTGATATGCAAGATGATGATGTATAATAGTATTCGATTTCTTCTTGATTTGTAGATAAGGTTGTTTGATACTTGTAACTAAAAATTATTTATGTTATCTATGTGTTTTACTTTTTTAAAGGCAAGCATCGGAAAACTGGAAGAGATGTTGCAATAAAAATTATTGATAAACTCAGATTTCCAAGTAGACAAGAAAGTCAACTCAGAAATGAGGTGGCCATATTACAGGTAATACTAGATCATTTCAATAGACTGGCAAATGTTGGTTTATTTAAATTCTATAACACATTTGTTTATGGGCTGTGTGCCTCTGTTACCAGCGGGTGCCAGTCTCATTGTAATTTCAGCATTTTCACCAATAAATCAAGGCTAGGGCAGTGCCAAGAATGGACTGCACCTAACAACCTAACATAGAAACATACAAAAGTGATGGCAGAAAAAAACCTAGTGGTCCATCGAGTCTGCCTAATGTTTTTTTTTAATTTATATGTGTTTTTATTTATTTATTTTTTTAGGTTTTTTTTTTTTTTGCTAGCTTTTTTTTGTATAGATCTATGTTTGTCCCAGGCATGTTTGAAGCCACTTAATGTTGACTGACTCCCTACTTCAGTTAGAACGGTTTTCCAAGCAACAACTACTCTTTCAGTAAAATAATACTTTCTAAGACTAGTTTTGAACTTTCCTCTAGTTAGTTTGAAGTCATGTTCCCATATTCTTGATCTTGGTTTCATATTGAAGATCCTGCCATCTTAAACCTTATTCACCCCCTTGATGCAGTTAAAGGTTTCAGTCATGTCTCCCCTTTCCCTTCCTTCCTCCAGACTGTACTTATGAAGTTTGTGAAGTCTTTCCTGATCCCCCAGACCTTTCACCATTTTTGCTACCTGTCTCTGGACTCATAAAAGTGACACATTTTACAGCAAAAAATAAAGTATACATAAATTACCTATACATATTATATAACTTCCTGAGCATCAGGGGAAGTCTTATTCATTTTCAACAGGTTTGTCCATGGATCATGGGTCTCGAAGTCTGAGTGGGGTGTCAATTTATAGCACATACCTATAAAACCTCTTTGCTTGTTATGCCTTTTGATGGCGCTGTGCACACCTTTGTGAACTCTGCCTAGTGATAATGTGCGATTAAATAACTGATAGAAAACTCTTTAGAAAAAGACAGCTAAAACCTGCATTCTGTATACCCTTATGCAACAATATGGTCCACAAAAAGCCAGTGAGTTCAGAGGCAATCCTCTTCCCATCTTATGTAGGTACAGTGGAAATAAAAATCATTTCATCCAAGCAAGACTCATTTTTGGGTGGACATTTTTTCATTTGATGTCTACTTATAACCTTCATATACACCATACCTACCCACTTTGCACAGAAACCCTTATAACACAGTGTTTCCCTGTTTCTTCAGAACTTGCGTTCTCATGGGGTTGTTGACCTTGAAGCTATGTGTGAGACTCCAGAGCGGATCTATGTGGTTATGGAGAAGCTGCATGGAGACATGTTGGAAATGATTCTCTCAAGTGACAAGGGGAGACTTCCTGAGAGAATCACCAGATTTATTGTCACACAGGTAAATTGTTAAATTGTGAATGGGGAAGATTGAATCGTCTGCAAATATACCCGTTATGAATTAAATCCATTGAGAACTAATAATCTTAATATTTTGTGATGGAAGTGACTGACATACCACACATACAGATTTATATGTCTGTAGCTAAAGGTATAGCAGTATTTAGACATTGCATGGGTGTTTTAAGAGATAAGACCAACATTATTGGCTCCCTCTCAAAACATGAGCCTATTTCCTATGGATAGGGTCTGTTCCAAGTCTGTTGACCAAAAGCTGATGCAGGAAATTGAATGGGGAGTTTATACTTGGAAGACTTTGAATCTTGTGGATACAGGATACTTATACCCCATTTAAGCCAACAGCAAAAGCAGAAATAAGTGAAATTATATTTAACAAGCCTAACCAAAAGAATAAATCATACATTTAAGTATAGATACAGAGTTTGTAAATAAATGCGAACCAAAAATAAAAAATAAGCCACATTTATGACACATATCTAGTACTATGAAAATATCTAGAAGTACTGAGCACTAAGACATTGATGGATAAGCAATTGTTTTTATATGTGTGTTTGTGTATCTCTTAGGGATGTTAGTAGTGAGATCTATGTGCTTTAAATGAACCTGTGCCCAGACTATGCACATAAAAGTATTTCATATAACAAGTCAGCACTAAAGGCTGCCAGCAAAAATGGGTAGATATACACACCCTAAAACAAATCTACAATAAATGATTTTGCAGTACCTCAAATGTAATTATATCTCATGTGGAGAAAAGAAAAAGTGCAAATAAATATAAACATGGAACAGCTCATATATAATTAAATACAGGTCGCAAATACGTGATATAAATAGTTCATCCCAGTGAAATAAATGTATGACTTCCACATCCAATTGTGAGTTAATTCTTCCCATCTGTGGAGACAACCGGCTACTGCGCGAATCACTCACTTACCAAAAATAATGGCTGCAAATGAATAGAGGCAAAAATAGCTTAATTATAACCACAGAAGATGGTCAACTTTATTATACCAGCTCCCACTTGCAACAGATGGCATAATTCTCTCTTTTCCTACCTTTGTTTCTCCACCAGAGGGCAATAAAACAAACCAGCAACTGTGTCAACAAAGCTCACAAACTGGAACAGACAAGGGGGACTGTAGTAAATTTAATAACAACTAAATCACAGATACAACATAAAAAAAAATGCCAAAACACCACAAAAAATCCAGAGTTGCAACTCACATGTGAAGATGCCGCTCACATGAAGTGACCATCTTTCTTTAGCCTACTGAACTCCTCTAATTAGTGGGAGTTCCAGAAACTTCAGCCATAAAGATTGTCTCTGGTGCACTATTTCAAGGGATTGAACAAATATTGATGAACTGCTTTGAATTTATGTTATATGTGATAGACTATATGAATGGAAAAGCACTATTGCCCTTTGATTGTTGGTGATCGCATTGAGTGATGATACAGACTACCACTGGCGATTAGCACTTATAGATGTAGTTTATATTACTTACAGTGTGTGAAAATATAAAATATATATATAGTATATACACATACTGTTAGGTCCATATATATTTGGACAAAGGCACACATTTTGATTGTTTCAGGTGTTAAGCAAAACATATTCAAGCTATAGTTATATGATGGCTATGGGCTGAAAGTGCACACTCTCAGGTTTAATTTGAGGGTATGTACACCCAAATTGGAGGAAGGGTTTAGGAATTACAGCTCTTAGGATTAGCCATCCCCCATTTTTCAAGGGACCAAGAGTAATTGGACAATTGAATAAAAAGCGATTTCAGGTGTGGGCTACTCCTTCATTATTTCTTCATCAATTAAGCAGGTATAATGTCTGGAGTTGATTCTAAGTGTGGTATTTGCATTTGGAATCTATTGCTGTGAACCTACATCATGCATTCAAAGAAGCTGTTCATGCAAGTGAAACAGGCCATTGTAAGGCTTCAAAAATTAAACAAATCCCTCAGAGAGATAGCAGCAACATTAGGAGTGGCCAAATCAACAGTTTGATACATTCTGAAGAACGCACTGGTGAACTCAACAACATAAAAAGGCATAGACGTCCACAGAAGACAACAGTGGTGGATGATCACAGGAGCCTCTCTATGGTAAAGAAAAACCCATTCACAACATCCAGACAAGCAAAGGACACTCTCCAGGAGGTGGGCGCATCATTGTCAAAGTCTACAATCAAGAGAAGACTTCACGAGAGCGAATACAGAGGGTTCCCCACAAGGTGCAAACCATTCATAAGCCTGAAGAATAGAAAAGCCAGATTAGACTTTGCCAAAATACATCTAAAAAAGCCAGACCAGTTCTGGAAAAGCATTCTTTGGACGGATGAAACGAAGATTAATCTGTATGAGAATAACGGAAAGAAAAAAGTGTGGAGAAGGCTTGGAACAGCTCATGATCCCAGGCATACAACATCATCTGTAAAACATGGTGGAGGCAGTGTGATGGCATGGGCATGCATGGCTTCCAGTGGAACTGGGTCATTGGTGTTTATTGATGATGTGACAGAAGACAAAAGCAGCTGGATTAATTTTGCAGTGTTTAGAGATATACTGTCAGCCCAGATTCAGCCAAATGCAGCAAAGTTGGTTGGATGGCACTTCACAGTACAGATGGACAATGATCCAAAACACACTGCAAAAGTAACCCAGGAGCTTTGAAGGAAAAGTGGAATATTCTGCAATGGCTGAGTCAATCACCTGATCTCAACCCAATTGAGCATGCATTTCAGTTGCTGAAAGCAAAACTAAAGGCAGAAAGACCCACAAAGAACAACTGAAGACAGCTGCAGTTGGAGCTTGGCAAAGCATCAGAAAGGAGGAACCCAGTCTTTGGTAATGTCCATGGGTTCCAGACTTCAGGCAGCCATTGCCAGTAAAGGATTCTCAACAAAATATTAAAAATTAACATTTTATATAGGATTATATTCATTTGTCCAATTACATTTGAGCCCCTGAAAATGGAGGGACTGTGTATAAAAATGGTTGCAGTTCCTAACATTTGTACTTGATATATATGTGCAACCCCTTGAATTAAAGCTGAAAGTCTGTACTTCACATTCTTTTGGATTGTTCAATTTTAATTTATTCTGGTGGCATACAGAGCCAAAAGTATGAAAACTGTGCCTGTGTCCAAATATATATGGACCTAACTGTGTGTGTGTATATGTAAATATATATATATATATATACATATATATATAATGCTTTATATAAAGGACTGCTGGCTTGCTGAGATAACTATAGGTTTTTCTCAGGACATACTACACTGCATATTGAAATGATGGGATGATTGGATTATTGGCTGCAATACTCAACACTCTCATTAGGTGTCAGTATATTTTTACATACATATATGGTAATGGTTTTGTTGTTACTCAAAATATGTTTCTCTTTTCTGCAGTGCTTGAAACTATGTTGCAAGTAGTAGTGGCTAATGTTTAACTCTTCATTTACTGATATATGTGCAGCTGTAAAATGGCATCATACTAAATTATACAGAAATAATGGAAACATTACTCAATATATGAATAGAAATAGATTTATGGATTTCATACAGTACATGCATGTGTAAAGCACTACATTTTGAACTGTTTTATTAGGAACCTGGAAAATGATGTTTAAAAAATTATGGGAATATGGGTGGATTATTGTGGATACACATGCCAAGGATCGTATTTCACCTATTTCTGACAAGATTATGGGTTTAGTTATAAGAATATGAGAATAGCTATTTTTCTACATGGGGATTATGGGTGGATTTTTGTGAATACACATCTTGTTTTTGAACATGCCTAGGAACACATTTGACCCCTTTCTGAATAAAATATGAGAATAGTTATCTACATGGGGATTATGGGTATATTATTGTGGATACATATGCTAAGGACCATGTTTGACCTATTTCCAAAATGATTATGGGTATAGTTCTATTTATACATGGGGTTATGGGTGGAATATCATGGTTAACTATGCCTAGGAACACATTTTACCCCTTTATGATAATAATATGAGAATATTTATTTTTCTACATGGGGATTATGGGTGAATGATTGCAAATACACATGCCAGTGACCATATTTGACATGTTTCTCATAAGAAAATGGGTATAGTTAATTTTCTATATGGGGATTATGGGTGGAATTTAATGCTTAAACATACCTAGGAACACATTTGACCCTTTTCTGATAAGAATATGAGAATAGCTATTTTTATACATGGGGATTATAAATTTGTTATGGTGGATACACATGCCAAGGACCATATTTGACCTATTTCTGAAATGGTTATGGGTATATTGGTTTTTTTTTTTTACATGGGGATTATGAGTGGATTATTGTTGATACATATGCCAAGGACTATAGTTGACTTAATTCTAAAATGATTATGGGTTTAGTTATATTTATACAGGGAGATTATGCATGGAATATCATGGCTAAACATGCCTAGGAACATATTTGTCTTGTTTCTGATAAGAATATGAGAATAGCTATTTTTCTACATGGGTATAATGGGTGGATGATTGTGCATGCACATGCCAAGGAATATATTTGACCTTTTTCTAGTAGGAATATGAGAATAGTTATTTTTCTGCAATGGGATTATGGGTGAAATATTGTGGATACACATGCCAAGGACCATATTTGACCTATTTCTAAAATGATTATGGGTATTGTTATTTCTATACATGGGGATTATGGGTGGAATATAATGGTTAAACATGCCTAGGAACACATTTGACTTTTTTTCTGATAAGAATATGAGAATAACTATTTTTCTATATGGGGATTATGGGTGGATTATTGTGGATGCACATGCCAAGGAACAGATTTGACACGTTTCTGAT